GGTGCCCTGTTATTTCTGAAAAAAAAATTAAAGCTTGTCACTAAACAATGCAAGTTCATGTTCCATTTAACAGTCTTTACTCCAGGCAAAGTCTTGGTTGATGCAATAACCTCTTCTGCATATTTTTTCTTTATTTTATTTCTTCTAGTGGTGGAATGTTTATCTCTTGCAGAAATGGATTCCTTGATTACACTGGTTGGGAATTTAGTGGTGGTGTTTGATGTGGTCTATGACCAAGTCACTTAATCTGTCATGCACTTCTGGTCTTCACAGGAAAGTGAGGAGGATGAAATTGGCAATCTTGAGCTAGCCTGGGACATGCTGGAGTTAGCAAAAGTCATTTACAAGAGGTAAAGGCTAAAGTTCCAATTTGGGTATATGCCACAGAAACTCATTGTAAATTAGATGGTGGTATAGCCAGTTGGAGAATGTGGCATGCTCTGATCAGGATTTGAAAACTATTTTTGTCTTCTTGTTGTAGACAAGAAACAAAAGAAGCTCAGCTCCATGCAGCCCAAGCTCATCTGAAGTTAGGAGAAGTTAGCATTGAATCTGGTAAGTAATGTTAATTTTCATGTGCAAAATGTTTGGTTCTACTTTCTGTCACTGGGTTTTGTACTTAAAAATGAGCAGATGTGAGTTAAAGCTGTCAGGTTAAGAACAAATTAGATCATGATAGTTGCAGCCATGTGAGAAGCTTCAGAAGCAATGGCTGCTGTCTTAAAAATAGGATAGTCTGTGCTTTTGCAGAGCAGTGGGGAAAAAAAAAGTTAATAAGAAGCAATGTGTTGCCAGCCTCATCTTCTGCTTTCTGAAGTGACCAAACCTTGCTTATGAACTTGAGAGACTTGCTGAAATTGTCGTGAAAAATATTTGACTCCCTTAGACCTTCCCAAATCCTAGGCTATAGTCAGGAAAGGTTCTTGTGTTGTACAGCAGAAAAAAGGGAGTGGGAGGCAAACCTCAGGTTTATGCTTTGTAATGACTCACTTGTCTTTCATTTAAAAATGTATTCTAATCTTGTTAAATCCAAATGTACACGTTCTCTGGGGCAGGCATTGGAAATAACCCAACAGGTTTCTGGGCCAGGGCTACAGACCAAGGGTTGTGTCTTATGTCACTAGAGTACATTTGGGGAGGGCTTGGCAGGAAGGTGGCACTGTCCTTAGCTCCAGATCTGTGCTGCAGTTGGGACCAGTTACGTTCAGTTCTTGGTAGATGGTAAAGCAGGAGGATTTGGTGCCTGCTTTGACTTGGCTGCTCAGTTTTCTGTGCTGAAATTAGACAAAGCACTTGTGAGAGGACCAGAGGAGCTGGTCCTCCAGAGGCCTAGTCAGTCTCTCAGGGGAGGCAGAGTTTTCCCCTGGTGGTCTGAAAGCAGCCCAGCACTGCTGTGTTGAGTGGTGGTTCTGTTTGCAGACTGTAGGATGTGGAACAAAACACAGAGTAACCAAACCAGGGTTTAGGGGGTGCTGCTGTGGAATTTCTGAGGTTTGTAAAGACCTTGGGGCTTTCTCCTGTAGAAAACTACACACAGGCAATAGAGGAGTTCCAGGCCTGCCTGGCCCTGCAGCAGAAGTACCTGGAGGCTCATGACCGGCTGCTGGCCGAGAGCCACTACCAGCTCGCCCTGGCCTACCACTACAACAGCAACTTCGACGAGGCTGTGCTGCAGTTTGGGAAGTCCATGGAAGTCATAGACAAGAGACTGGGTACGTGGAATTCTTAATCTTCCTAGTGAGTTTTCACAAGGCAAAATAGTGAGGTATGCTCATTGTCTGCTGTGTCCTGTTTTATCTGAAAATGGTGAGACTACACTGGGGCAGAGTTGGTAGAACTGTTTGTTAGCAGATAGTTGCCTCTGGATGTTGGTGACTGGACAGTTACTTTGTCTCGAGGTGTTTTGCCCTGATAACTGTTTCATTCCAGCAATACTGACTGAGCGAATAAAGAAGACAGACACTGGGTCCCCTGAGGACGAGAAGGAGATAGAAGAACTGAAGGGACTGCTTCCTGAAATTAAAGAGAAGATAGAAGATTCAAAGGAGTCACAGAAGAGTGCAAAAGTAGCTGAGCTAGGACTGAAAGCAACTCTGGTGAGTGTGTTCTGTGGTTTCCTTTTGATCCAACCCTTCTTCCAGTGGAACTTAGAATAAATCACTAATGGGAGGAGCTTGGACTTGATCAGGGACTGGTGGTTGCTCACAGGTGTTACCAGGCTATGGTTGTGAGAAGGAAACTGAGGCAGGTGACATTTAAAGAGGATATTTACTAAGAGCCCTGCTACTGATTGTTCCAAACTAAATAGGAATTTGATAGGCTTCTGTGGCATTTAATGGAAATGATGTGTCAGGCAAGTGTGGAGTACACATCTGTCCTGTACTGAAGTGCAGTATCCAGTGTTGGGATGTGAAGGGCTTGGGCTTTCTGTATCTCATTAAGTTCACGTGTATTGTCTGCCATAGTCTGTTTTTTCTGCTTTTGTTAAGGTTGGAACTACATCCGGCTTTGCACAAAGTGAAGACAGTGGTTCTGTGTCCACAGTAAGTTAATCTAAAATGAATGTTGTTAATTCCTGTCTGCTCTAAGGATTACTGGTTGTGTTTGCTCATGTGTCAGTGTCTGTCTTGTAACAGATTCCAGTAAGGAAAGGAGCTGATGGTGCATCTCAGTGTGTAACAGACATCTCTCATCTAGTCAGGAAAAAGGTGAGTCCAGAAATTACTTGTCAAACAAGCAGTTTTTTGAAGTACCACTAGCTTGCTCTGTGTAATAATAGGCTTTGTCTTAAAAGTATTTTTTTTTAACATAGTTGTATATTGGGAAAACACTCCAAAAGTAAAACCAGTAGTGTATGAACTCTTCCACTGGGAACCAATCAGTCTGGGGAGCATCTGGCCTCCACGAGACCATTCTTGGTGGTTCAGCACCCTGCCTGACCCACACTGATGTAAATCTGACCCAGCTGTGTGGCTTCTGCAGGTGTTCCCTGAACAACAGTTTCCTCTGCTGAGGACCCCCAAGAGCAGCAGGGTCACCTGCAGATCCCAAGGAAAAGGCAGGCAACCAGGCTGGGCTGGGTTCCCTTGTTTCCAAGAGGAAACTGGGACTTGGACTTGTAATAAATAGTAAAGCCACACTGGTGGTAATTATAAACTGCTTCTTTAAGAGATCACATATTGAGAACTTGGTTCCTTTAAGCATTGTGTGTTCTCTGGAAGTGTTTGCTGCTAAAAACTAAGATCTTGTAGGAGATACTCTCAGTTTTATGTTGCTTCTGTTCCATTGGTCTGTCAGTTCAGGCATGCCTGGAGTGATTTGGAGCTTCTTTAGGTGATTTCAAATGTTGTGGATGCCCTAAGTCTACCCTGGAACTGTTACAGGCTCAATGGTTGCTCCCTTCTTTACCAGACTGTAACGACAGATAACTCAGCTTTGGAGATCCTGGCACCTAAAGTGTCACTGTGGTCAAGACCTGGGTGTCAGAGCCTCAAAGCTCTGGTTTAAATCCCAACACTGAGCAGTCTGTCCTGAGCCTGGCACGCAGAGGTTGGGTAGATGATGTGCAGTGACATCAAATGCTAAATTTCTCAAAAAGATTTAAACTTTGATTTGTACTTAGTGGAGATTATAAACAATTTTGTCTTCAGAGGAAACCAGAGGAGGAGACTCATCAGGGAGACAATGAAGCCAAGAAATCTAAACCAGAACCAGCTGTCAATGGTGGTGGTGGGGACCCTGTCCCCCGTGGAAATGAGGTTGCAGAAAAAATGGAAGAGGAGGTGGGCAGCTGAGCCAGGAGTCTGGGCTGTGCTTTTTATTTTACTTCCCCCCTCTCTGTTCAGGGATGGTTCTGTGCCTGGTAGATGTCCTGGTTTTATTGCCTGCTGTCCGTCACAAGGTTTCCCAGATGAGACGAAGACTATTTCTAGTGGGCAGGGTGCATGTTGTGCTGTGGTGCTGACCCTGTGGGGGCTGGACAGACCCAGCTGTGGAGCCTTGTCACCTGTGGGGTGGGACAGAGACAGGTTCCGGGTGCTTTTTTGCTGGGCTCAACTCCAGCACAGGGTCTTCCCCCAATTTATAATGTTCCTGGGTTTTATTACTTATCTCTGGGCTGCACTTGTTACTATCAATGCTTTAGGGTAGTGTTGGGCTCTGGAGACTGGCAAAGTTCACATAGTTAAGTCTTCAAATTACAGAACCCTTGGGCTGCTGCATGAGTTGGTGCTGTAAGACCGTGTCTTGACTTATAAAAACAAACCCTTATCTTCTCTTTTAGACAGAGAAAAGGCCACAAGCAGAATCAGGGGCTGCAGTTGAAAGCACAGTATGATAATGATTCTTTAACCTTGGACACTCCTCTCCTTACAAGGAAAATGGTTTTGTATATAGTGTATTTTTTCACTTTTTGGCAACTTTTGTATGACTTCAATAAAGACTGTAAGCAAATAGTCCCTATTTTGACCTCCCTCCTGTGACAGGTTCCAGCCTCTGCTCCTGGCTGTCCCCCTGGGCTGCAGGTCTCAGCCCTGGCCCACCACTGGGCTCGTGCTCCCTTTAACTTCAGCATTTCCACCCACATCTGCCTCCTTAGGAGCAGAGGGTCGGATGGGCCAGGCAGGGCTGGCTGCTGCAGGGAAGGAGAGCATTGCCTGAATGTCACTTGTCCAGGGACCTGACCTTTTTTTTTCTGCTGGGGCCTTGTCACAGCTGGGGCTGTGTTTTGTTCATTCAAAGCTGAGCCTGAAGTGGGTTCTGATAGTGCCTCCCTCAGCTTTGAGCAGCCTAAAGATGGTGAGGAATGCTGATAAAGGAGGAACTTTGTAACATCCTGGGCTTTGTTGCTGTGTATTTTTATCTCTGCTCAACCTCTGCTTTGCACCCAGGAGGGGGGTGCAGGAGCAGGTGCTGATGGTTGGAAGCAGGGGCAGGGCTGTCCCCTAAGCCAGCTTGAGTGCCCAGGTGGGGCTGGGAGCCTGCCCTGGGTTGTGTGTGTATTAAAAAAAAGCCAAGAAGTGAAGAGGAGTGAGCTGAAGCCTTTTATTAAACATGTAGCACAGGGCTTCTGACACTTTGGAAAGCTGGCTGTGGTTTTTGCTGGTTCCCAGGGTTGAGCTGTGCATGCCCTGGTTTAGGCTTTCCCTACAGAGGGATGTGGGCATGAGCCTGAGGGCAGGGAATTTATTGTGCCCCTCTGTGCCCTCTGCCTGTCCCCAAACCACCATTGTTAGTAGGAGTGATTGAGCCTCTTCTGGCTGTGGGCTCTCTCCTGAGGTGGAGCCTGAGCTGTGTCACTCAGTTTGCTGCTGGCTTGGGGCTTTGCCTGTCCTTCTCCTGATGAAATGCCCAGAGCCTCTTGGTCCCAGCAGTGATCCCATACACTTCCACCCACCCCAGCACTGTGGGATCTTGGTATCAGTTGCACAACTGGTCCCTGAACCCATCTCTGCAGCTTTTGAACACAGGTTTTGCCTTCATCACCCCAACAGTTCCTGAAACCCCTATTTGCCATGGAGGGGGTGGCAGGGTAGTCCAGTTGGGGCCATGGCCTGTTTCTGGCTCACCTTTGGGGAGCCCTGTCTTGAGCTGGAGGCTCCTGAGGAGGAGGAGGGTCCTCCAGGGCCACAAAGGGGGTGAGGGGGAGCCCAGGGGGCACATGGGCTGTGGGTCTGCCAGGCCCCAGTGCTGGCCCAAGGGGCTCCTGGGAAAGGAAAAGAGTCATGTCAGGGGGAGGAGGGGCCTGGCCATCCCCTCTTGCTCTGCACTGGGAGTGCAGAGCAAATCACACCCCTGGTCCAGCACTGGTGGGGGCTCGCCTCCTGTCCCAGTGGCTGTATCCCCAGGTGCAGCAAAGGGAGCTGTTCCCAAATGTCCCCAAGCTTGTACCTCCACACCCATCATCTCGTCCCAGCTGGCAGCCCAATCCCAACTCCCCTTTCCCCACCTTGGAGAGCTGGAAATTCCCCTGCACTGAGGCTCTTACCATGAAAAGTTCTGGCACAGCAAAGGCTGGTGGCAGTTGTGGTGTTAAAAGGTGTGGGAAGACAGGGGGGGGCAGCCATGGCCTTGTCTGCTCTGCATGGCATCGCAGCATTCCCACCTCTGCCTGGAGCTGGGCCAGTTCCTCCGTGTGCCGCTGGGCTGCCCGTGAGCCTGGGCAACAGGATTTGGTCACCGTGGGATTTACAGCAACCATTTTCCTGGCACCTCACCAGGCCCGTGTTGAGGGGACTGGGCCTCCCTGCTCACTGCAGAGTCAAACCCTGAGCTGCAGCCCCCTCCACCTGCCAGTATTTCCAGGAGCCAGCTCCAGCCCAGAGCTCTGATGCTGCAACCACAGAGGCAGCCAGGGGCTGTGGGGTGCAGATGGAGGGAGCACCATCACCTACCAGCTTCTGCTCTCCTCTCCCTTCTGACCTTCAGTGCCAACAGTTCATCTTCCAGCCGCCGGTTCTCCAGCTCCACGGCCAGCAGCGCCGCATCCAGACCGTGTGTGCCCGTGCCGGGGGGCTCTGCTGGCACAGCTGGGGGTGCCTCAGGTGCTGCCTGGGCGCCATGGTCCCTCAGGGGGACAGGCCTGGGCCCGGTGTTGGCGCTTACCCATCCGCCTGGCCCTGCGCAGCCCCGCAGTTCCTTCCTCCAGCACCGTGGCCTCCAGCTGGAGGTGGAGAAGCTGCTCCAGGATGGCGGGGTCGTGTCCCCCGGAGCGCAGGTAGGACAGTCGCAGCGCCCTGCCGGAGCCCCGGGTCAGCCATTGCCGGAGCTGACCGGGCCCTCGCTCAGGGCCGCCATGGCCACAGACCCTCACCTGGCCTCGGCGGCGAGCGGCCCTGCGGGCGGCAGGAGGCTGTCCAGCTGGAGGGTGGCCCTGGGGAGCAGACAGGCAAATGGGGGATGAGGGAGCCTTGATGAAGAGCGCCCCACAGGGCCGGGGCTCTGTGCTGTGGCCCCTCGGGCTCACCTGTGCTGTGCTGCTGGCACCTGTCCGGGCTGGTCCCGCGGGCCTTGGCTCGGCTCAGGCTCCCCCTGCTCGGGCTGGGGGCCCGCAGGTGCCCTGGCCCCCAGCGCTGCCAGGCGCTGGCACAGCCCTGACGGACCGTGAGGGGCTGGGGCTCAGCACGGCCCCCACAGCCCCCCTCGGGGGGTTAGTGCATCCCACACGTGCCTTCCCATCGCCCCAGAACCACTGCCAGTGCCTACCCTCTCTCTGCCGCTCCAGCTGCCGGGTCCTGGCCCGGATCTCGGCCACCCGGCGTTCGTGGGCTTCCCGCAGCTCCCGTGGCGGCTCCCAGAGCCCCTGCGGTGGGAGCGGCTGCCGGGGGGGCTCTCCCTGCGGCACACGGGTTCACGGGCAGGAGGGGCTGACCCCCAGCCCTGGGGAGCCGTGGGGCTGCTGATGCCCACCCTGGCGTTCAGGACTCACCGTACCTCCACCGGCAGCCTCCCAGCAGTGGGGTCGGCCGTGCCGAGCAGGGCCCTCTCGCGGGGGGTGAGCACGTCCCCCAGGGGAGCTCCCCGCACCCGCCCTGCTCCTCGATGTCCCCGCACAGCTGCTGGGACCCCACCAGGCACAAAGTGCTCAGCGTCATTCGTGTTTTGGGACACCCCGACCTCACAGACACAAAGGGAAGAAAAGGGTGACACTCCCACCCTCCCCCAATAATACACTTTTCTGGTTTTGGCAGAAGCAGGCTCAGACCAAGCCGGATCTAGGATGTGATACCCGGTTTCCCAGCCCAGCACCTGTCCCCCCCGTTCCCATTCTGCGCCAGACCCAGCACCACACTACCGAGATGTCCTGCGGTTTCCTTGCCGTGCCCTGTGCTCCCTCCAGAGGCAGAGGGTTCCCCCCATGGAGGCAGGAGCTGCTGGGGGCCGTGGGCCCGAGGCACAGCTTCTCCAGGTGCACCTGCAGCAGTGGTCGGGATCTGAACGACAAGCGGCAGCGGGGGCAGAGGAAGGTTCCCATGTCCAACACCCTGGAAAGCAGAGCAGGTGGAATCACTCGGGGGACCACCCTGACAGGCAGAGGGGGTCCCCCCGCGGGGCTGGCACCCCGGGACAGGCTGGAAGTTTGTACAGAACTGCTGGTGGTGTTGGCTGCAGTGTTTGAAGCCACTGTTGCTATGCTGGACGCTGGGCTGGGCAGGGAGGGCCGCACCCCCACCCTTGGACATTCCCACTGTTTACCACGGGCCCCTGAATAGGGAAAAAATGTCGCTGAGCCACCAGAGCGATCCACAGAAAACAAGATGAGGGAGGCAGGCCCGGCTGCCCTGTGTCCCTCCGTGGTTACAAAGTGCTCCATGACAGACTTGCTTGCCCTGGGGCTGTCCAGGAGTGCTCCTTGCCTACCTTGCAGCAGCTCCCACTTAGCTGCTCCTTAGCAGACTTTAAGCTAAGGGGAACCTCCACACAGAGGTGAAATAGCTCCTTCTGCCCTTTCTTGCCACAGGTGTTGTCCAGGCCCTGCCCTTCTTCCCAAAAAAGCTCCCTGCATTCCATCCTTGCACCCACCTCAGCTCTGCTTGGGAAGTCCCTACAAGCTTTTCCCCTCACCTCATTGCCAGTGGTACCTGCCATGGACTCATTATTTGCTCAGGAATAAGCTACCATTTGATGGATGGGGACTTGCCCCGCCAGGCTCACCCAGGGGCTGCCACTGCCACTTCCAAGGTTTTATCGATGTTTAAACCCTGCCCAGCCCACAGAAGGGTTGGGGCACAACATCTAGCATGAAGCACAAAGGAGCTCCTGGCACAGGACACAGGCCAGGCCATGCTGTCCCAGGGCAGTCCGGTCCCACTCCAGAGTGCTCAGCAAACCAATTCCCCCATTCCAAATGGCTGCCAGCATGGATCTGAGGTGGAGGCGTTTTTAAATTTTACCCCATTTCTTGAGATCAGTGCACACAGATCTCCATAACTTGGTTGAAATGGATATAAGAAATGAAAAAAAAAAAAAAAAAAAAAAGGAGGCTCTTCCACACAAAAGCGTTTGAATATTGAGAAGGAACAAGATGGTTTGTGCAAAGTCATACAGAAGCCCCAGCACTTCCCCAAGCACTCCCAGGCAGCCTCAACCCCTTGACCCTGGTTTCCAGAGCACAGGGATGAAGAAATGCCCCACTGCCCCTCTTCTCTGGGGTTCATCGCAGAGCCACAGGAGCTGGAGGCACAGATAGCAGAGTTACACCTGATAGTGCTGAGCAAGCACCCTTGAATCCAGATGCAAAGATTCAGGACTAAATGTTACCATTTTCATACACCTCTGTCCTCTCTGCCTGGCCAGGAGTGGATTAAGAACACACAGCACAACCTTGGGACAAACCCCCTCAGGTCAGCAAGACCAGGTTTTGTGTGACTCCATCCAACCCCCCCTGCAAACGCTGCACAACCCCAGAGCACCTTCCAATCCAAAACCTTTGTGCACAAGCTGAACTTACACCAGACACTAAAATAGCTTAGGCCACAACTGAGTTGTTTGTAAAATTCTTTTTAATCTAATAGAAATGTTTTCATGAATTTTTAAAAAAGATTTCAATGAAAACAGCTTTGGATTCAGACATTCCCTTGCCACGTTGTGAACATAAACAGCAGCATTGCACCAGGAACAAGTGACACCGACCGGCCGAGCTTCACCATTTTGTATGAAGCGGAAAAAAAAGCAAACTGCTTTAGTAGAAGATAATTTTGAATTATTTTCTTTTAAAAAAATCCCCAAACATGGACTGTCACCTCAGCATTGTTCTCCCTCTCCCTTCTTAAAGGAAGAGTTCAGCTCCTGCAGTCTGAGCACTACAGCAATGTTTGCCAAGTGGAAAAATAGAGCGGGAGAAGAAACTGTTTATCCCCAGTGCTACTGAACCCCCAAAGTTGCAGGTCCCTTAGAGGAAAGCTCCTCTTACATAAGAAAGACAATTAGAATTGGCAAACTGATGCAAAATATTTATTCCAAGTTAGTTATTTTTGATGCAGTAGTTTTTCCCCCTCATACAGACTCAATGTGATAGTCACTTTTTAAAATCTGTAAATAATGTTATCAAAATAATCTTAATCTTTGAAATCTCACAAAAAATTTATATTTTACAATCCACCCTGAATATCAAGGCTGCAAGAAGAAGAACACAAACAATTCCTATATCCAAATATTTTACAGCTGTACCCAAAAAAAAAAAAAAAGAAAACCACAAACGCCTGGTTAAGTGATGAAGCTCCCCGAGCCGCCAAAAAAAATAAAATAAAATATTCATGTTATTAGCATTAATTTAACATAATTAGAACTTCAAAAGCCATTTTGTCATCGACATTGATTGTTTTAGCACACCGTTACCGCGCGCTGGGCAATGCGGCGGCACTGTTAGAAGCTTGTTGTTGCAGAGATCAGTCAGCCACTTGTGTCCTGCTCACACGACTGAACTTGTGCACTGCCCCACAAGGGATTTTTGTCAAAATTTGCTAGCTGCACAAACTTCTAGTAAGCATTAGGGCAAAACCAAAAGAAAAAGCTAAAGAAGCCAATTTCTCTCTTCTTTGGGATACAATTATTTCCCTTGTGCATGAAGTATCAACAACAAAAGAAAAAACTGAACAGACTGGAGACAGAATAAACTCTGTTTAGTTTATACAACCCCAAACACGTGTTGAACTATGAACTGAGTTTATTGGGTTGGTTTTATTTATTTTAATTTTATTGTGCCCAGTTTCAGGCATCGTCATCTGACGTTTCGCTGCTACTTGTTTCTGTGTCTGAGTCCTCAATCTTTGTCTTAAAAGTGCTTCCCCAGTGGAACAACAGGCTGGAGCAGCGACCTTGAAGAAATCCATTCTTCCCAAATCCGTTTCTTCTTCGCTGTAGGAATGAAAGTAAGTTTTAAAACGAGCAGAAGTGTGGAGAGTAACTGTCACCAACCCTCTGTGGTGGACACAAACGCCACATCTAACTGTGTATACACACATGGACAATGCAGAACCATCCGTTCTACAAGTCTCCCTTAAATGCTTGGTCCTTTTGAACACCCTTAAGAATAAGCCCTTGAGAAAGGAGAGGAAGAAGAGCAGTCACAAGTAGCAAGAGCTGTAAACATACCTGCTCTGATTTAATTTGGAACTCTTTGAGCTCATCCTCAGTGAGGGGAAGGTAGTTTTCATCATTTTCAGGATATTCCTGCCATCCCATTTCTTTCAATAACCTGATTGTGGAGAAAATAAAAGGGGCATGGGAACTAAAGCAAGGGAACAATGGCAAAGGAAGGAACACTTTATCCATGAAAAACAAGGTTTCATAGTAAATCACTCCAAATTCACCAGGGAATCTTCTCTATCACAGACTGCTTCAACAATCCTTTGTGTTTACCCACCATTTTTTAATGTCTTTTACAAATATTTAACCATCAGCAGCCCTATACAATGGGTACATAACCAGCCTGGTGGAAGGCAGGGATTTGAAATTCTAACTCAAGGACACTGAAGGAGGACATGAGGCAACCAAACCAGTATCACAGCTCAGAATCTCCTGAACCTTACTGCCTGCTTGCACCAGATACTCACACTGCTTACTCATGTGAGATACAACCTGAGATACAAGGTAAACATTTTCTTAACTCTACTCCACTTTTTTGCAGCATGTAAAGCAGCACAGAAGTATTCTAAGTGCAAACAAAGTGTGGTGTATGTCTTCAAATCATTACATTTAGGACACCTGCTTGCAAATTTGGTTCATGCTGACTCCCACCGTGGGCAGATAAATATCTCTAGGCAGCATTAACACACAGGGATGTGGCATTAAAGAAGCACTGGAATTTAATTATAGACCTTGGTAAAGCCTTGGCTCACCTGTCATTGGTGTCTTGTTTTACTTTCAATAAGACCCCACCCAGTCCAGTCATAAAGCACAAATACCTCCTTCCTTGTACACACACAGCTACTGCTGCTTCCCAAAAATAGTTTTCTTTAAAATTGTTTCCTTCTCCTCGCACAGCCCAAGGACTCACTCTTCCTTACTCCAGACACTTATTCTGCCATCTACTCACCTGTGTTCAGCTTCCAATGAATGGGAGAGGTTTTCCCCCTCCTCCGGCAAAGGGAGAGAAAGGCCATTCTGATGGCAGTTCTCTTCCCAGTTTTCCTTTGGTTCTGGTGTGCTGTTGCTCTCCATCTAAAGAAAAATAAAACCATCAAAGTATGCTTGCACAGACCGTGCCAACAGCACAGTTCCAAGTTCAGGCTTCTGCCTTTGGAAGTCCAGCCAAGCCTTTCACCTTGAGCCACTGTTTTTTACAGAAGCTGCAGCAACATGTACTTGGCTGTGACAGGACAACACAGGACAAAGGACGTTTGGTGGCCTGTGCTGCTGTGCCAAGGGAGTGAGTGCTGGCATTGCAAAGCCATCACCAGCAGCTCAGAGTGACAGTAAGAAAATGATGAGAATTAAATGCTCCTAAAGATACACTTTACATACACATTAAGGCACAGATCTATGTATTTGGGGCATCTGGTTTGAGCCTCTGAGATTTGAGCCACATTCCTGCACCTTTCACAAGCACAAAATTCAACTTTTCTGTGAATGCAGTTTGACAGGGAAATCGGAAAGCAACCTAAGATGTTGAGATATGATACTGTTCCTCACCTTAGAGAATCCTTGCAAAAAATCTACATTACCATCAACATCTGTGACCTTCCCTTCCACCTCATTTGTTACTTATCCACTTGAATTTCACTGTGCTATACATCTCCCTCCACCACTGCTGTGCACTATTTCCACTGGCATGTGTGACAGACCAGTGGGAGTCATTCCCTTCCTCCTCCAGAGCCTGAATTACATACACTGCTCAGGGCTTTTTCAGCCCCAACTCCTTCAACAGTAATGATTGTACACATAGCAAGGACAGTGATCTTACATCATCCAGCTTGTCACATTCCCTGTTTTCTGTTATCTCCCCGTTTCTATCATCCTTCAGTGCCTTCAGGAATTCGCTCTTTTTATCAGTGGTCCGGCGCATCAGCTTCGTCAGGCGTGAGGAGCAGATCTCAATGGGAGGGGTGGTGCTGGAAGGACTCTGCATAGGGAGGGAGAACACAGAAATCAAACTGCACTGCTGCAAACCTGAGGCCTCTTCAGTGGCTGTACTTACACCTTTCAAACACTCATCAGTTCCTTGGATGGCTCTCAACACCTCAAAAAACCCCAACCTAATGTCCAGTTCCCATCAAAATACTAATGGGTGTTGCACATTCACTTCTCCCATCTA